TCCTACTTTTTATTCACTCGTGTGAATCAATATAAAAGCATTAAATATGGAGTATAAAACATTGGAAATAGGGATTGTATGGGCGTTAAACACGTTTTTTGTTAGAAAGTTTACAAGAACTTATTTTAATATTTTATTAATTGTGCAATATAGTGATGGTGTGTAAATTTATATACGTGAGTATATATTGTTTGTTTTGGTGAATGTCCCACAAATATTCTCATACATAAAGGTGATGGTTGAGGCCCGAGGGGATTTAATAAGTTTTAAGATTATTCCAGATTTTTTATGTGGCAATGATGTAACAAAAAAACCTACTCTGTATTTATTTAGATAGCATGAATGGAGATGCTCCCATACATTCTCCTTCCGGTTCATTTTACTAATATAACTTTAATTTTAAAAAGGGAAAATAACTTTAAATAATATCAACTATCAACATAAATCAATAATAATACATACTTTGAAAGTGACTTTTAATAATATCAACTATTTGAATAAAAAACTAAAGCAATATGGAGTCACTTTTCAATAACAAGTCCGGTCATTTAAGACATTAGAAACTAATGGCAAACTATCAAATAAATGATATATGAAAATACAATCACTTATTTGATATTTTGATACTAGTTTTAGATGAATTAAATAACTGATTTTTCAGTGTAAAAATTGCTCTATATCACTTTTGATTTATATTTTGATAGTTGATATTATTAAGAGTTATTTCTAAAGTACTTATTATTCTTGATTAATGGAAGATAGTTTGTATTATTTGAAGTCATTTCTCCTTTAAAAAAATGTCATTATTACCACTATAAATGTACCAAAAGGCATAAACACAATCAACCTATATATATATATATATATATATATATATATATATATAGGGAGCGGTTCCAATGAGAACACTCCTTATTGTGAGAAATGAGAACAAATCTTAACCATACATCTTAATAAATTCAAGGCTATAAAATGATTAGGTGCATGGTTGTATGGTGGGAGTGCAAACAATTAAAAAAATACCCTTGCACTCTCTATAATCCATACGTAAGTTCATAAGGGCATTACAGTAATTTAAAAATAATTCTTTAATGTGTATCCGTTTGAAGTTTTCACTTACCTAAAAAGTAGGTAGAAATAAATATCCAAATTTTCTAAAATGTTTTTCTTTTAAAATTGATTTAACTTTTAAAATTATAATATGATTTTAACAAAAATTATATCAAATTAAATAATTTTTTATTATCTTTCATATGACACCAATAATGCATATATAATTTTATTTTTTTAAAAATAAGTATAATATGTGTACTATGAACCACACCAAGTATCTCTAGCTACTGCGCACAAGAACATGTATCTAATACACAAGTACAAATATCAAATGCACAAATACAAGTCTCCAATGCACAATATGTATAACAAAACACTATAATAAGTATCTTAAGCACAAAATCCAATATTTCATGCACAACAAGTAAGAATTAAGTACTATGACAACAAGTATGTCTTGCACAAGAATCAAATTCTAACACACAATTCCGAATATGTAATGATTATAAACCGGTATCTGACACACAACTCATTTATGTAATGCACATAAACCTGTATCTAATTCACGTTTTGTATATGTCAATTGTGCATTATAAACAGATTATGCAAGTTATGCACATAGGAACAAGTGTGTGCATCACAATATGTTACTTGTGCACTATAGTCAATTGTGCAAACAAGTTATTTGGTATTGTTGAAAAAGTGGTCTTTAAAAATAAATAGTGCACATAATATATTTGGATGTACGTGTACTTGATGTTTTAGTTATCATCACAATAAGATAGGCAAGTGCAAAATATAAGTAGAAAGTTTGTATGTTTGTAATAATAAATGTGCAAAAACTATTTGAAATGGTGACTCGCAATGACTTTACTTGCATTTGTAAAATATGATTGTGCAAAGAAAAAAATTGTGGAAGAGATAATAATAACGACCCAAAGGTTACTTAAAAGGTAAAATAATATATCTCATCCTAAAAATAAAATAATCCATCATGCCAAATTGATGTGCAATAGTATATGCAAAGTGTGTTGCAAAATAGCTTATTTTTAGAAGGAAAAACAAAATGCTCAAATATAATACGTAATGGAACTATGGAAGTCACTCTCAATATTTTCCAACCCTAAGTGTTATATTAATTTAATATTATAAAACAGAGACACCTAATATAATATAATAATGATGCTTCCATAAATAATTGAAGTCAAGATTCCAAATCGGAAGGAAATTAGTTACCATAATAAATTAGCTTAGATTTATTACTAAAATGCCCACACGTACAAGTTATATGTAAGAAAGCCAAAGCTTAAAATAAACGGTTAGAATTGGTTCTCATTTCTTACGTTAAGAGTTGTTCTCATTTGAACCAATATACATACACATATATATGATCCACTAAAAACACCTGTCTAGCAAAAAAATTAACGAGCATGTCACGGGCTCTTTAGCGAGCACGTAGTCCTTCCGTACCTTGACTTCTACAAATCTACGTTACAATCAAACAAATTAAATGTGTATTATTCATAACAAAGAACACGGCTTTCAAAAAGAATAACAAAGATCGAATACTAATCACCACTAGTCTCTCTCATTAGCTTATGAATTTTTTAATCCAGTTTTTATCTTTGAAATCAACAATTATACAAATATTTTTTGCAACAATGATAGCATACAAAATGTAGTTTGTTGATCTAAAATATCATAATTTTTAGGGAAAAGTGTCAAATACCCCCTACTAATACGAAAAAGTCAATTAAGTCCCTAAACTAAAAAAACATCCAATTAAGCCCACGAACTAAATATAACTAGGCAAAACAGTCCTTTTAGCATGATATTAACCGTTCCCAGTTAAGTTGCATGTGTGGCAAATGATGTGGCATGCTTTTACATTTTCTTTTTCTCTTTTTCTCATTCTTTCCTCATCTCTTTTTAACCGCTTAATTACCTGCTAAAAGGACAGTTTTGCCTCGTTTTTTATAATTTGTGGGCTTAATTGAGTGTTTTTTGAGTTCAGGGGCTTAATTGACTTTTCTGTATTAGTAGGAGGGCCTATTTGGCGACCTACAAACTCAATATTTGGCCGAGCTCTTTTGAAGACCTTCCCGGTGGAATTTTTTGATGAATTTGTTTTAGCATGTTCCTCATCAAGTCTAGTTTGTCCATACCAAATTTCAGCTCAAAATTCGATCGGGAAGGCATTAAAATCTTTTTTTGAAGTTGACTGCGTTTTTATATGTATATTTTGACGCGGTCAACTTCAAAAAAAGATTTGAATATCATCCCAATCGAATTTTGAGCTGAAATTTGGTATGGACAAACTAGACTTGATGAGGAACATGTTCAAAAAATTTCATCAAAAAATTCCACCGGGAAGGTGCCCAAACGGGCTCGGCCGGAGGTTCCCGTCAGGCCGGCCTGACAAGAAGTGTTCTCTCTCTCTCTATATATATATATATATATATATATAATAATATATATATATATATATATATATATATATATATATATATATATATATATATATATATATATATATATATATATATAGAGTAGTCTTCTTGTCCAGCCGGCCTGACGGGAACCGCCGTCCGGCCGAGGGCATTTCGGGCACTTCCCGATGGAATTTTTTGATGAAATTTTTTGAGCATGTTCTTCATGAAGTCTAGTTTATCCATACCAAATTTCAGCTCAAAATTCGATCGGGAAGGCATTCAAATAATTTTGTGAATTTAACTGGGCAGTTTATATGTATGAACTGCCCAGTTAACTTCAAGAAATTATTTGAATGCCTTCCCGATCGAATTTTGAGCTGAAATTTGGTATGGATAAACTAGACTTCATGAAGAACATGCTCAAAAAATTTCATCAAAAAATTCCATCGGGAAGTGCCCGAAATGCCCTCGGCCGGACGGCGGTTCCCGTCAGGCCGGCTGGACATGAAAAGTCCTCTATATATATATATATATATATATATATATATATATATATATATATAGAGTGCTCTTCATGTCAGGCCGGCCTGACGGGCTGCCCCGTCCGGCCGAGCCCGTTTGGGCACCTTCCCGGTGGAATTTTTTGATGAAATTTTTTGAGCATGTTCCTCATCAAGTCTAGTTTGTCCATACCAAATTTCAGCTCAAAATTCGATCGGGAAGGTCGTCAAATGATTTTTGCAAGTTAACTGGTCCGGAATATGTATTTTCCGGACCAGTTAACTTGCAAAAATCATTTGACGACCTTCCCGATCGAATTTTGAGCTGAAATTTGGTATGGACAAACTAGACTTGATGAGGAACATGCTCAAAAAATTTCATCAAAAAATTCCACCGGGAAGGTGCCCAAACGGGCTCGGCCGGACGGGGCAGCCCGTCAGGCCGGCCTGACATGAAGTTTTCTCTATATATATATATATATATATATATATATATATATATAGTACTCTTCCGGTCAGGAATTCCTGACCGGAACCGCCGTCCGGACGGCGGCGTTTGGCCGCCTTCCGAGTGGAATTTTTCGATGAAATTTTTATGACATGTTCTCCATCAAGTCTAGTTTATCCACAAAAAATTTCAGCCAAAAATTCATTCGGGAAGGTTGTCAAATGATTTTTTTCAAGTTAACTGGTCCGGAAAATACATATTCCGGACCAGTTAACTTGCAAAAATCATTTGACGACCTTCCCGATTGATTTTTTGGCTGAATTTTTGTGTGGATAAACTAGACTTGATGGAGAACATGCCATAAAAATTTCATCAAAAAATGCCACCGGGAAGGCGGCCAAACGCCGCCGTCCGGACGGCGGTTCCTGTCCGGAATCCCGGACATGAACATTTGTGTGTGTGTGTGTGTGTGTGTATATATATATATATATATATATATATTTACTTTTAATACACATGCATCAACTTTGAGTTTGAGAATCTTTTACTTCTTTAACATTATTCACTACCGTATACAACTATATTCATAACTTTAGAAAAATATCGTGAAACTACTAAAAAATTAAGAAGAAAGAGTATATCAGGTTCTCCAGTATATCTGTATATACATTATACACTGGCCATGATTCATGACACATCATTTTGTTATTATTACTTTCTCCGTCCCAATATTAACTCGTGATCAAACTTGCCTCATAGATTTTAAAACTGGGAAATGTGTGGCCTAAAATTGTGCAGAGGAAAGAGAAGGTTGAAACACATATTGTGAGCCACACGTTCTTTGCCAAAAAGGGAAAGATGAGTTTATATTGGGACGAACGTAAAAAAGAAGAATGAAGATAATATTGGGACGGAGGGAATTTTCCATGATGGAACCCTTGACCATGACATTTTCCCATTGTAATATTATGGACAGCAAGGTTGTTGGCACCTAAGATCTATCGATGCCTGGGGACCAACTAAAGAGACACTGGTTTCCTGCTATGATCTACATCAACATTATAATGTAGACTACACCCCTCAGGAAGACATAGAGGCGGATCTTGACATGAGCAATTATTATCAACCATGAAGAGCTCCCACTCTTTGATACAGCACCTATCCAATGCAGCTATCAATCTCTGGCGGTGTTGTTTCTCATCGGGATACACACCGTCTGGGCTGACCAGCACTGCCCCGGAGTATGTTTGCCCTGCCACTCGAGCGGCCCCATGGTAGTGAAACAATCCCCAGCTTAGATCCTCACAAACATCAACAATCGTCCATATCTCATTTGAAACAACTCCATTATCCAAGACACTGAAGCGAAATGTCCCTGGGACTTTCCCTATTTTTACTCTGTACTTTCGCCTTCTCCACACCAGAGCCCCCCTATCAAGTGTCCTGACCTGAAAGACTGGTTCGTACCAAAACGATCCCTTTGCTTTTCCTCTATAGAATAATTGGTATTGGCATGGGAATTGATCATAGGCTGGGTTTTGCCCAGCCACAACACGCCAACTCCAATCCAATTTCCCCAACCAACCCACGAAAAGATCCTCTGCTGTCTCGTGACACAATTTTTGCCCACGAAACTCTGACAACGGAGCTACATGAGGTTTTTCTGGGATTTTCACGTCCAACCCTAAGCAGTTGTTCTTCTGAAGTACACAAAGAGAGAACTCTTCCAGGTATGGGCTCTCATACGAAGCTATACATGTGTAATTGCATACCTGGTCCACTGCGCTGCACTGGTTTAAGCACCAAATGGCTTTTCTACAGTTAGGATCCAAAAGGCAGTTCAGTATCTGGGCCCCACAGTTTTTCAACATGCAGTTTAAGGTAGAGAAGCCTGTTGCTCTTAAGTTCTTCAATGTTGGAACTGGAGTTATATAAGCATTGATTATAACCAACAAACAAAACCGTATATCATCAGAATTATGCCTATCCCAAGCTAAAGACACAGTTTTGGCCACTTCCCTGGATTCGTCTAGTTTCTTCCATTGAGAAATTGAAGATAAACCTCCAAATATATTCCCCTTAGTTTCAGTTTCAATAACTAGCCCTCCGAGCTTGTTTGGTAATGCTGCAGATGACTCGAAACATATGATATTTGGGACAAAATAGCCATGTTCTTGAATCCATTTGACTGATTCTTCATTTGTAACAGCAACGACGACCATAACATTTGATTGGCACACTTCCTCTGTAACACGTTTGGCATTTTCATTGTTAGACTGATAAAAGTTATCACTAAAAACGTGCATTTCATACTGTTCATCAACCCACTTCAACCTTTGTGCCTGCATGGAAATATTGATGTATAGTCCTTATAGGAGATTCAATGTTACAGAAACACTTTAAAGGTTAAATATACGAAAGTTAGACATTGCAGTATCATACCGTAAAAAAAAAAGACATTGCAGTATCATACTCCCTTTGAGGCTGTTCCAAATAAGGGTGTATGAGGCAATTACTTGGTTCTCTAATTGAAAAAACCGGGCCAATCACCTAAAAATAACAGATAACACATTTCCTCAAGTAGGACACATTGTTTTAATTTCTTCTCAAAATAGGAGTCACTATTCAACACTAAAAAATAAAAGCAACTAGTAAATCTTTTTCTAGAAGTGGATGGACCCTATTCTGGGAAGAAAGCAATGATTATCCTATTCGAGGAAACATGTCATTTGCTAAGTTGGGTAAAACAGATACGGAGTATATCACACTTAACTACTTAAGTAATCTATTGCTAATGAAGTGATGCCAACTATATGAACTTCACCATCACACAAATAAACGAAGTTTGATAACTACCTGAGTTCATATGATATTCTTAACAACATGAAAATCAATCTACCATACCCCAATGGCCAGCCAAAATAGCATCGCATATCGATTCCAATGAAAAATTATCCAAGACACACATAGACAAATAGGGTTTCCATCAATAGGCTAATTAAACATCGGGGGGTGAAATCAAACAACTGATGACAAGCATGTTCTTCAATTTCATCAAATAAAAAGAATTTGCACAAGTTGCATAGTGTAGAGACGCCCTACCTCTGGCTGCAATAAAATCAGTTGGCTTGGGCATAACATCACACATTCTAAGATAGAATGAAGCAGGCATTAAACTTGTACAAATACTTTGTTTCTGCCTAGTGTCAGTACCCTCTCAGACAATTAATATTTTGCAGTCTGTAAAATAGGCGAAAAATCACACCTCAAAGAGAGAGTGACGGAAACATATTCTATAGTAGAAACGTTATACTCACGGTGTGGAGCATGACGTCATGCCAAGGAGTGGACTTGAGGGGGCTGACGCTGCCGTCGCCGACAAAAGCTACTATCCTCACCGGAGCATCAAGTTTCTCCGTCATGGAAGCATCCTCCGCGTTCAGAGCAGCACTTACGGATCTTCGAGCTGCCGTGGGATTCCCGGAGAGAATCAGCGGAGCAGTGAGCCTTGCGGTTCTGCGGAAGAGCGGATGGAGAAGGGCGGTCCGAGAAAAACTGATGGGACTCATCGGAAAACCGGCGCTTGACGTGAACAGAGGCGCAACGTCGGCACTCATGGTGGTGACTTGTCAGGGAGTGATGGAACTCAAAGAAGCGTTTGTGGAGTACCAAAATCTGGCAGCGCCCGCCTATGTTACCTTCATCCCGTGGACTTTGACAAGAATGATTAATTGGTTGACAAAGTTGACTATAAAACTATTCCCAACTTTTTTTTTTTTTTTTTTGGCTAAATGGTGCTCTCAAATTAATTAAAAAGTGCAATTCATTTCTTATATAGGAGCTTCTGTTCGGTCATCGCTAATTGGAGCGGATTTCGGTAGAATTTTTTGATGAAGTCTAGTTTACTCATACCAAATTTCAGATAAAATTTCAACCGAAAAGACAATCAAATGATTTTCTGAAATGTACTGCACTCCATACAAGATTCTATTAAAGAATGTTGATTTGATTTGGATGATAAAGTCACATTTTTGTTAAGAGTTGTGCACATGTGGACCGTCCCTAGCAAAAGGAATTCATCCTAGCCATATATTCCCTCCGTCCCATTTTGGTTGTCCTACTTTTCTTTTTGGGTTGTTCCAAAATGAATGTCTTGTTTCCTTTTTTGGATGAAATATGTGGTTCTTATCAATTCACTTTATTCTACTCAAATCTCAACCACAACTTTTACTTTTCAATCACTTTATTAATAATCGTGCCAAATTGAAAGTGAACCATCATTATGGGACGGAGGTAGTATGGTTGAGACGGTTCCCATGGATGTGGAGATGCATCTATTACAATATCCATTTCGTGTTAATTTATTTCAATATGGATCCCTCACTGGAATTATCTATGAATCATTCTTCACAAGGGAATAACCATTTTGTAGGAACCTATTGCTTATTTAATCATTGTACAAGGAATTGTATGTTTTCTTTGTCTTCACTTTTCTTGCTGACTCTCACTATGCAACCTTATTTTTTAAGACTAATAATAATTAACTTCAGACCCTTTCACTTTGTTTTGTACTTCACTCGTCTAATTTGTTAGGAATTAATTCACGCAACACGAAGAACAATTAAAGAACACACGAAATCTGGTAACCCAGTTCACTATGAATGACTACGTCTGGGGGCGCTACCAAGCCAGGAATATTATTGCTATTTTCAGATCCACACATGATTACAACTTACAAGGGAGAGAGCTTGTATTTATAGAGAAGTAAAACCTAACCCCAGGGCAACTAGGATGCGTTTCCAAAAATAAATTAAGAAATGTGTTTTCAAAAATAAATTAAGAAAATCTTTGGTTATACAGTCTCTAACACCTTACAATCTCCCACTTGAAGACTGTCTTCTTCAAATCCTCCCTTGTTAGCATAGTAGTGCCGGCCTTCAACTTCAAGTACCAAGGCCAATTGAAGCTATGCAAAACTTCAATTTCTCCAATGTTACCACCTTAGTAAACATGTCTGCTGGATTCTCACTCCCACGGATCTTCACAAGCTGCAATGCCTCTATCTCCAGAAGATGACGAATGTAGTGATACTTCAACCGAATGTGTTTGGTTTTCTAGTGAAAAGCTGAGTTGTTTGACAAGAAAATATCACTTTGACTGTTACTGTAAAGAATGTTATTCTTGTACTCCTTCCAAAGTTCCCCAAGTAGATTCTGAATCCACACCATCTCCTTACTTGCCTCCGTAATGGCCACATATTCAGTTTCAGTGGCAGATAATGCAACAATCTTCTGCAGCTGCGAAAGCCAGGAAACTGCTGTCCCACCAAATGTAAAAACATACCCGATGGATCTCTCACTCGGAATTATCTACTCCCTCCGTATTTAAAAGAACGCTACGTTTGGTTATGACACAAGATTTAAGGTAGAATAGTAGGGGTAATGAATAGTATAGAAAACGTAGGAGAGAATGTCAAAAAGTAGGAAATAGAGGATAAAAAGTAAAGGTAATTGGGTATTTTTAAAGGAAAAACTTACGAAAAAGGGAAAGTGTAGGAAACTCTTAAATATATCCCAAAAAGGAAAGTGTATGAATCATTCTTCTTCACAAGGGAATAACCATTTTGTAGGAACCTATTGCTTATTTAATCTATGTACAAGGAATTGTATGTTTTTTTGTCATCACTTTTCTTGCTGACTCTCACTATGCAACCATATTTTTTAAGACTAAACTCCGTAATAATTAACTTCAGACCCTTTCACTTTGTTTTGTACTTCACTCGTCTAATTGTCTATATTAGTGATGGTTTCATATATAAAACTTCATTTGAGTTAATTCGTTCTACTTGCCTATATTAGTAAAATAGGAACACTGGTTATATTACAGAGTATAAAACTTTGTTCTGTACTCTACTTCATTCTATCATAAAGATATAAAGGCAACCTTTTTGCTCAAGATGAATCATTTCATGTATTAAATTTAAACGCACTGTTCTTTTGTGTTGTTGTGCACTAATAGAATATGTAAATGTTTAGGCGAGAATACTATTGACAAAACATTTTATTGTTATACACTAGAGTAATAGATAACTGGAACTGGCAATGACACTTTTTCATGAGTTATCGACCCCAAGGTTGTTGGCACTTGAGATCTATCGATGCCTGGAGACCAACTAAAGTAGAGACATTTGTTTCCTGCTATGATCTACATCAACATTATAATGTAGACTACACCCCTCAGGAAGACAGAGAGGTGGATCTTGACATGAACAATTATTATCAACCATGAAGAGCTCCCACTCTTTGATACAACACCTATCCAATGCAGCTATCAATCTCTCGCGGTGTTGTTTCTCATCAGGATACACACCATCTGGACTGACTAGCACTGCCCCGGAGTATGTCTGCCCTGCCACTCGAGCCGCCCCACGGTAATGAATCAATCCCCAGCTAAGATCCTCACAAACATCCACAATCGTCCACATCTCGTCCGTAACCACTCCATTATCCATGATGCTGAAGTGAAATATCCCCGGGACTTCCCCCCTCCTCACATTGTACTTTCGCCTTCTCCATGATGTAGCGCTCCCATCTAGTGTCCTCACCTGAAAGACTGCTTCACACCAAAACGTCCCCTTTTGTTTTCCTCTATAGAATAACTGGTACTGGCATGGGAATTGATCATAGGCTCGGTTTTGCCCAGCCACAACGCGCCAACTCCAATCGAGTTTCCCCAACCAGCCCACGAGAAGATCCTCTGCGGTCTCGTGACACAATCTTTGCCCGCGAAACCCCGAAATCGGGGCCACATGTGGTTTTTCTGGGATTTCGACGTCCAATCCTAAGCAGTTGTTCTTCTGGAGTACACAAAGAGAGAACTCTTCCAGGAGTGGACTCTCGTAGGATGCTATGCATGTGTAGTTGCATACCTGGTCCCCTGGGCTGCACTGGCTTAAGCACTGAAGGGCTTTTCTACATATAGGATCAGAAAGGCAATTCAGTATTTGTACCCCACAGTTTTTCAGCATACACTTAAAGGTTGAAAAGCCTTTTGCTCTTAGGTTCTTTAGTGTTGGAACTGGAGTTATATAAGCATTGATTATGACCAGCAAACAAAACCGTATATCATCACAATTGTGCCTCTCCCAAGCTAAAGACACAGTTTGGGCCACTTCCCTCGATTCATGTAGTTTCTTCCATTGAGAAGTTGGTACTAATTTTGTAAATATATTATTACCCTTAATCTCAGTTTCAATTACCATCCCTCCCAGTTTGTTTGTTAGTGCAACAGATGACTCCAAACATATGATATTTGGGACAAAATGGCGATGTGCTTGAATCCATTTGACTGACTCTTTACTTGTAACAGCAACGACTATCAAAACATTCGATCGGCGCACTTCTTCTGTAACACGTTTGGCAACAGTTTCATTATTAGACTCATAAAAGTTGTCACTAAATACGCGCATTTCATACTGCTCATCAACCCACTTCAATTTTTTGGCCTGCATGGAAATATTTAATGTAAAGAAATTGCTTCAAATGGGAGTAGAACACATGAAAATTGCACAAATACAAAGAACTAAGTTTCATTACTTAAACATGACTTATATGGTTATATTAAAAGTAACATTCTAAGAGTCCTATTTAACGCATAGGAAGAATGCTGAAGTCAAGTACAAAAATATGTCATAGGTTAAATTTATGAAAGTCATTAAGCATATATTGTAGTATCATTCCGCCTTATTTAGAAGATCATCATATGCTTGAGTGTTTGGCTTTAGAGTTCTTAGACATGTAATATTTTGCACTCCATAACAAGGGTGTGGATAGCGGGCGTGATGGACAGAGCTTCACCCCAAATTTGTTGAGATTCTCTATTCCACATGATTTTTTAAGAGATGAGTTCTGATTTCGCTTGTGTAAATGACATAGTTTTTGGCAACTCTATATATTCATTTATGTCTTTTCGGTGACTCTCAAACTTCATTTGTTTGTCCAATCATGGAAGATAATAAAGGTGAAGATGATGAAAATCTAAGATGATGATGAAGAGGAAGTGAAATTGTCAAAATATAAGAATAGTGAAAGACATATAAAGAAAAAATGAAAAGAGAAAGTGGAACAAATGGCCATGAAGAACATGTTTTTAGGAAGGTGGTTCCAATTAAATTTGTAGTCCAAATTAAAACATGGCAACCTGAAGCTAAGGGAGAGTGATATATAAAGTACTACTATACTCACGGTGTGGAGCATGACGTCATGCCAAGGGGCGGAGTTGAGGGGGCTGACGCTGCCGTCTCCGACAAGAGCCACTATTCTCACCGGCGGCACGGAAGGCCCCAGCGAAGCAGCAGCTGCGGCTTTTACCCTTACGGGCCATGACACAACCAAAGGAACAGCGGCACTGAGAAGCCGCCGTGCGGTTTTCCAGCAGAGCGGGCGGACACGGGCGGTGTGACTCATTTCCGCCATTGGTAAACCGGAACTGGAACTCATCAATTGTAGTGGCGCTGCGTCCATACTCATGGTACGTCGGAACTCAAAGAAGCTACTGTGGGGTTGTAATAAAGCACCATGCAGGCTCCTTATAAAAAGCCCGTCTAGCTCAGTTGGTAGAGCGCAAGGCTCTTAACCTTGTGGTCGTGGGTTCGAGCCCCACGGTGGGCGAATCACTATTACATTTTGTTTTGCTAGTATCCAATGTTTTTTTTTGCTTGTAACTACTACGGAGTAAAATATAACAAGGCAGTCTCTATCTGTGGTATTTTTACAAAGAGTTACTCCGTATTTATTTTTGATAAACTTTTACACGAATAGTCCAAGGGTTTTTGAATATTTTTTCTTGATATTATATCTTCTAAATTTTAAAATATGCTAACATATACTCCGTATTTTTTTTTTGCTCAAATGGTTTGATCCTTTTTTGGGAAGCCAAGACCCATGATTTCCGCATGCAATACTGAAATACGCTTTTTTTACCCCGGTTCACATTTGATGTTGTCATATTTGTAACCAAACACATTTAGTTAAGGATTACTAAAAGTGCTCATTAAGACTCGCGTTAATAAGCGACACATAAAATAAGCAGTGTTATTCATGTTTACCTCAAATGATTTAAAACACCGCTTAACATTAATTGACAAACATTCATTTACACAAGTATAAAACGTTGGGACCACCCCGTAACGCCTCTAACCCCTACCTCCCTACTACCCATACCCGGCTAGCCCTATCCTACACTCTACCGCCAGGCCCCAACTCCACACCCCTGCCCCTTGACCCCAACCCCTACCAGGGGCGGAGCCAGGATATGACCGGAGGGGGGGGCGGGGTGAAATAAAAAAGAATAAGATTTAAAATATAAATAAAATATACATTAAATGATGTATTGGTATTCATCTAAAATATTCAAAAGTACGTGATTAAACACTGTGTAGGATAAAATTTAGAACATTACATGACTATATCTATCTTGCATGCCACGAAAATCATCGATAAAAGAATCCATACCAGACTTTTTGGCGTTTTTTGTGTGTAAGACAATAAATACTAGCAAATATCTAAAAATAAAAAAGGTATACAACTTAACTAAGTATACTAGACTTGCTAGTCAATAATGAATTAGTAATAAACTTAGGAAACTATTTTCAATATTAAATAATAGGTAAAAGGCAAAAAATGTACTCGTAATACTTTACCTCTATTCTAATAGGTCTTGTGGATGCATCTATTGTCAACCAAGGATTTTTTTAAATTAATATACTTGATTTTTGGGCTTTGAATTATTTGCTTCCATATTAAAGTGGGGCTTTAGGGCCCAAGTAACAACAAGATAATGTACTAACTACTAGAAGAACTAATATAATAGTCCTATGTCCTAACAAATACGTACTACGTATAAGATTTGAGGGAGGGGGGCAAAAAAAATTACATAATGCTAATAAGTAAAAAAATAAAAGTTGGGAGGGGCCATGGCCCCCTTGCTTGAATACATAGCTCCGTCCCTGACCCCTACCACGACCTTACCCCCCACCCACTCCCATTGGGTAGGGGAAGGGGTTGGGGAGGGAAGGTAGGGTGGGGGTTAGGAATAAGGATACGCGTATGGGTTAGCGGAAAGGGTAGGGGTGGGGGTGGGGTCGGGTCAGGGTAGGTTGGGGTAGGATAGGATTAGGGGTGGGTAGAGGTTATGGTTAGGATTGACGTAGTAGAGGTAGTAGTAGGGGTAACAATAAGGGATAAGAAGGGTAAGGGTAAATTTAGAAACTGGAAAAATTTAAAGTGCCGCTAATTAATACATGAGGGTGGTATGCTTAGTAAGCGACATTTTAAGCACCTCTTTCGGTTAATAAACAGTTTTTAAGCTGCTTGCGTGTTTACTTCACATTTTTTACTACTCTAATTGTGACTTTAGCAGCGTGTACATAAAAATGTTTTAATCGTTTTTCAGGAAAAAATGAAGATTATTGTTAATTGTCCCACACCGGAAAAGTTTGGACGAACAAAAATGCTATATTAACAAATGAGCTACTCCTCCTATCAGGTTGACCTTTTAGGATGAAACCTCGTGTCTTAACACGATTATAAAAAATGACAGTTACGACCGGATGAAAAAAACGGACTGATAAAAAAATGAATGATGGCACGATCCAGACGAAGTGTCTGGTCATGAGGAGGGGTGTTAAATGTCCCACACCGGAAAAGTTTGGACGAACAAAAATGCTATATTAACACATGAACTATTCCTCCTATCAGGTTGACCTTTTATGATGGAACCTCGTGTCTTAACAATTATTGTTGGGGTCCTTGAAAATAAAATAGTAAAAAACTCCAATTGCATTTAAAAGCACATGCATTCATTCTGAGCACAAACGTCCAACTTTACCAAACTCTTGTGCTATACTTTTCTGTGATTCCCCGAGAAATATAATATGGTTCAACGTCTTACGTTAATTTATCACGTAGTACTATTAGCACGCATCTAGGCATGCTGGCCTCTTACCTAACTTTTGGTCTAATCTTTCTTTATTATTGCTTAACTTTTTGTATCTTTATATTTGCCTTAACTTTTTATTTTAATTCCTTTTGTACCTTTTTAGCAATGCGCCTAAGCCACGGTCCATTTACTTGACCAACAAAGTTAAAAAAGTAGGAGACTAACATATACTCCGTCTATACATACATACATAAAAAAGGTAGGAGACTAACATATACTCCGTATATACATACATATATAGGGGGCGGTTTTCAAAAAAAAGAAACATATATAGGGGGCGATTCCGGTGCAAACCAAGCTTCCGGTGCTAACCTACAAACCAACAACATTTGTTGGATTGAACAATACGGACGGTTGATGCATATGAGATCATTATTAAATTGGTGCACTGACACGCAGGGAATAGAAAAGAGAAAGCATCGTCTTAGCGCTAAAGTCAGTTACAAGGTTACTGTAGTAATTTAACAAAACAAAGAGAAGCCGCGCAAACCAAAATCAGGAATAACTTTGGAAAATTAGAATCCAATAACAAGGTAATCGTCCATGAATAGCAAATGGCGAGAAAGGTAAGTTGCAAAACATGGACGATTGCAGATAAAGTGACCAACGATTTCAAAGCCTAGAACAAGACTTTTGAATTGGTTACCTTTTTTTAGCGAAACTGAGCACAAGGAAGAGAAGGTGATCGGCGATTGCAGGGGATGACTTCAATACAAATAGAAGATCTGTTTCATCAAATACAAAATGAGCTTGATGAAGGTACTCATTTTTAGACCTTGTTATTTGACTATAGATTCAAAAACACTAATATGGATGCATGTTAGACCTTGTTATTTGACAAATTTATGATGAATAATGTCAGATTACAAGTTGGGATTGAAATGTATATTCGGATATAGGGTTAATAATCTTTTATTGAAAAATTTATGATTAATGTAAGATGCAATACTTTTAGATGTAAGATGCAGAGGACATAGAAGTAATATGCAATAGTTAAAGATATTAGATGCATGATTTGAAGGCATGTGACTTGTGTTTGTGAGAAATATAAATGCATGAATGTATGATATAAGATGCATTTATTTACAGTAGAATGAAAATGAAGGTCTCGGAATTGTGTAACACATAGTATTGGTTAAATGTTGATTGAAAGTGAATATAACCTTATGCATGTTTTGGTTGTCTTATGTGTTTAGTAAAAGTCAAGTGTTATGATTGAAATCACACATAATTGCACTTGTGTATTTGAGATTCATGTGTGCATAAAGTTTTGTTCTAAGATGCAAGTCTAATATAATCACAATGCATCATTACAGGTCTATAGTGCATATCATTATCATTCATAGATGTAACAGGGAATTGGGAATTTGATCATAAGTAAGATGCAGTGGTTATACTTGGAAGATGCAGTAGTTATAGTTAATAATATGCCGTCGATTTAGGTGCAAACTGCATGTTTTTTGGTAATGGTATTCAAACTTTGCTAAGGATGTCAGCAGGGCCGGCCCCGAAGAAATGTAGACCCTGTGCGAGAATAAAATTTGGGCCTTTTTTTAAGTTGTAACACAAGCAAATTGTCTTAAAATACAACTTACGAATAAATGTAATGATAAAATAGTCATTAATAACTTACAATTTATTTAAAAAGGGACATTTTTCAAGCATATTTAGATTTACGCATGAGGATTTTGGGCTGGGGCGTAATACTAAATTTTTTTTGGGCCCTTCAAAAATCCGGGCCCTATGCGCTCGCACTGGGCAGCCATGCCCTGGATGTCAGATGCAGCGGGTTAATGGTAAACATGTTGTTAAAGACTTTAAATGCAGTATGGCATGTTCTCGTTGTCCTGTGTATTTAGTAACAGTGAAATGTTGTGGTTGAAATCCCACATAACTGTGTTTGTAAAATTTTCAGCTTCGTGTATGCATGAAGTTTAGCTATTACATGCAACTGTAATATAGTCACAATGCATCATAACAAATTTTTAATTCATTACTTATTAATGAATGTGGTTTCTATGAACATATGATTACTAAACAATTACATTTACACACAATAGAAAAGGAACAAGCAATAGCAACAAAAAGAAAGCAAGAAAGTGCATCCACTACTAACACGAAGCAGAACAAAAAGGTCAAAGGGGCAAAGAAAAACTCTAAAGGTTAGAAAACAATTTGTTTACAAATACGATGTCGTTCACATTCTGTAAATCTATATTTAATACTTCTTATAACATTAAAAGTGCAACGTACAATTGTAAAAAAGGTGCAAGGAAGAGTGAATATGCAGCCGGATGAATTAGAAAGAGTTGAATGACAACAAAAGGAAAGAAAGCAGTACAAGGTAAGAATTTCACATGAAAGCAATAGTAGAAGTATAATTTGGTTTGGAATTTATTTGCATACAATGCTATTGATATCTAGTAATGCATTTATTTTGTGGTAACTATGCAGTTGTTGGATTACTAGAATAGATAGGGGGAAACTGGGAGTAAGCATGAAGAGAAGGAGAAGCAGAAGTATGAATAAGGCTGAAAGAATAATAAATGACAAGCTGAA